CCACCTAGCATTCCCAAGCAATCACCCATCTAGGTACTGGCCAGTCTCGACTATGCTTAACTTCGGCTATCGTAAGGGAACCGATGTTTCAACGTGTTGTGGCCGTAAGCTCAATCAAGAAAGAAAAAAATATTAGTGATATTCAAAATATAATATAGCACTCACTGCAAAATTCTAGAAATTATTATACAAAAGAAACAACACATATTAAATAAAATATTTTTCTCTACATGATACGGTATAATGAAATGCGTGTAAAATATTTTTAATTTTTAAACTTTTTTTATTATAAGGCGGGGTAAATTTTGACCATGGCCCGAGTAGAAACGCTCGGGTTACCCACGTTAAAAATCTGACTTTGTGTCGCATCCTAAACTAAGTGGGAGCCGAGGTGGGTGGAAGGGGAATACCAATTCTAGGCCATTTGGCTAAGATCAAAATGTAGTATCTGTTCTTATGAGCTTATTCCGATTCTCTCTGCATTTCTATCTAACCCTCTTTCTTTTCTTTTTGTTTCCATTTTCTCTAAAAACTTGTTGCTTACATTCTTCTGTAGATCCACATTTTTGTTGCTTCAAGTCTTATCTTCACCTTTCAGGAGAGGGTCCAGCATTCACTGCCATATAGGAGGACAGATATCACGTAACAGTTCACTACGCTTTACTTTGCTTCTAAGGAAATTTTCCTGTTTCTTGATATTTTGCTTATCTTTTAGAATGCATCTTTGACTATCGCAGTGCGCCTTCGGATTTCAGTATCACACTTCCGGTACCTTTGTTAAAACACTTCCCAGATATTTAAATTTAATGGGTTTAATATTTTTGGATTTAATGCATACTTTTCAGCGTATATGTTAGCTGCCACACCGTTTTTCATCGCTGTAAGCCTCATTGTTAGGTTCTGCTTTACCCTAAACAGAGACCAAACCAGAACTAATGCCTATAGACTTAGCCGTCAGTAAGACGTCTGTCATCCAAAACCACACATTGAATGTCATCAACTTGTTTTTAGACGACCTGATCGAGGATAATCTTCTGTGCCCTCCCTCTCTCGCTTGAATTTCGGAGCACCACTTCTTCACAGTTGCATAGGAAGTGAAGTCCTCAGCAAATGTCTGTACTAAATTGATTTCCTTGAGTGTCAGACTTTTCTTTTGCAGCTACTTTGTGACTACCAGGGTTCTGTTTTCTCCATTTTTAAATTTGTCGCACACCTCTGACCTTGGTATGGACCTCATCTTCACAGAAATTAAGACAGGAATCTGAATCAGCTTTTCTGGTCTTATAAGAAGTTGCAGTGTGTGGCCACAACAAAAAACTTATGGCTCTTCTTTCTGGGTGAAATTTAGAACTTTTTTCAACAAACCTCGTACGTAAGCGTTCACTACGCTTTACTTTGTTTCTAAGGAAATTTTCCTGTTTCTTGATACAGTGTAACCCGGATATAAGAGAGTTGTCGGGACCGGAGAAGAAGTCTCTTATATCCGGGTTTCTCTTATATCCGGGTTTGGTCTATTTTGTTTAGGTAAGTATGGGCTCTAATTTGGGACCAGAGAAAATCTCTCTTATATCAGGGTTTCTCTTATATCCGGGTCTCTTATATCCGGGTTACACTGTACTTTGCTTATCTTTTAGAATGTATATTTGGATATCCCGATGCGCCTTTCGAATTCAGTATCGCACTTCCTTTGTTAAAACACTTCCCAGATATTTTCCGTTTCTGCACTTATCCCTGAGATCTGTTCCGGGGCTTAGATTGTATTATCCACCGGTCCCAGTCATATACGTTCGTACCTAGGTATAACCCTGATTTTCAAATGTCGATTTTCAAGGTAACCAAGCACGCCTAACTTCAACAAAAAAAACAAACTTTCTACTGTCATTTTTTATACCTCCATCCCATTTTTGTCTTGTGTCGATATCATTGCCGCCTCTGTCCTATCAAAAACCAGAGTACGTAACGCTCACCGCCGGTGTACCGACTGAACTTGTCACCCACATAAAATGAGTCCGTCCTCGGTTAGACGACAACCGTGCAGGAATTCCATCAACGATTTAATTAAAGATAGTCGCTTTTCAATTTGAGAAGTCGGTGGGATGGAGGGGGAGGGGAAGGAGTCAGTGGAACACTGACGTTAAAAACACTGTAATTTGTCTTGTTTCTGTTAAATGTCATACATGCTTACCTGGTTGTGATTCCGTGCTCGTCAATAGCCAGGCATGTAAAACAACATCGATTGTCCAAACAACAAAAGGACGGACAGAGTCGTTAATCGCGCGGGCTTAACTATTTCATTTAGGCATGTCTGACACAAGACCAACATGCAGGCTAGTGTTTCGGGTTCAGGAAAAAGGTATAATAAACTTGTGATTTATATATTATATATTTTTCATATCTAACATTTCAATCTATCTATCTATCTATCTATCTATCTATCTATCTATCTATCTATCTATCTGTCTGTCTATCTATCTATCTATCTATCTATCTATCTATCTCAGTTTGTTCATTCTAAGTGTACTCATTATCTATCTATCTATCTATCTATCTCAGTTGCTTCTTATCTATCTATCTATCTATCTATCTATCTATCTATCTATCTGTCTGTCCATCGATCTATCTCTTCTCAGTTCATTCTTATCTCTCTTTCTCACTCATTCTCTCTCTCTCTCTCTCTCTCTCTCTCTCTCTCTATATATATATATATATATATATATATATATATATATATATATATAATCTGTGTACTTAGGCAAGCAAATGTTCTTTAAGACTAATAAAATGTATATTTTGTGCCGATATTTTAATGACCAAATTTTCCAAAATAATCCTTATCAGACGAGGAGGATTGATATATATATATATATATATATATATATATATATATATATATATATATATACTATTATGGAAAATTCGCTCATTAAAATTGTTAGCAGAAAATATGCATTTTATTAGTCTTAAAGAATATCTGGTACCTAAGTACACAGAATAATATATATATATATATATATATATATATATATATATATATATATATATATATATATATAGAATATACACAGAATATATATATATATATATATATATGTGTGTGTGTGTGTGTGTGTGTGTATATAGAAAGAGAGAGAGAGATGTCTGTTAATTATCTATCTATCAATCTAACTACTTCTTTCATATCAATTTTGCCATCTTAGTTTAGACAAACCCAATAATTCATTATTGCAATTTTGTGTCTTGTATTTTTTTCCCTTAAGTAAACGTTAAATGTTGAAATTGATAAGCACTCTCCACAGCATGCGATGGGTAAATTGTAGCCATTTTTTTTTATTATTTCGAGAAAGCGCGTTGTTTGTTTTCGATATTGACGACTGCACAGTATTGTAGGGTCAGTTGGACAACGTCTGTAAGGAAAAGAGCACCACAACGCAATTCACGCCGCCATAAATTTGGAAACGACAGGCTGAATGGCAACTAAGCTGCAATACGAATATTTCAGAGTATTTACATGTAATCTGAGGACCGTGTAAAGCGTTGGATGTGTCTAATGGTGATTGTGAAGGTACGACAGCTCGAAAAAACTCACTCTAATCGTACTGCTGCCCTGGAGGGTGGTTACTGGAAGACCCTATATCTGGCAACGAGATTTTGAACCATGTCATACAAGCAGAGAACCCAATCATACCTGTCATAACATTTCTGCGGCCACATCATCCCTTACATCTGGCCACTTAATTCCCCAGACTTCAACCCCTTATTTTATTATGTGTGGGGAGCAGTTGAGAGGGAGACCAACAAAACGCCTGGTAACACCAAAGATGAACTAAAGGCAAGGATTATGGCAGCATTCACCAACTTAATCCAGAAGAATTTGCAGGAGATTACGAAGTAGTCTGGAGGCCGTGGTTGAAGCGATTTTATTGAATACATTTACTCTTTATTATTTTAAGATATTTTTGTGTAATGTTGGTAAATATTTCTGTTAAAATATGATGTCAGTCTGATGTAATGGAATAACCTGTTACCCCCATGAGTGACTACACTATAGGTAGTAACTACCTATACGTATCTGTAAGCCAACGGACTACAGAGCTTCGCCGAAATCTTTTTTCGGCTACACAGTCGAACTCTCTGCCTTCGGCCGGAGAGAAACCCGGACGTGGCTTCGTCGAAGGGCAGAGTCTCGTTCGGGGAGGTTGACCAACCCGATCCCGTTATCCGGGTTCTACGGGCATTATTTGGCCAAGCCTATGGGCTCGGAGAAACATCGTTAAACCTGGCCTTGTACCACATGCAACCTTCGTGGGTGGGAGGTGGCTAAATATACAAGCCGAAATCTCTTTTCGGCTAAACAGTCGAACTCTCTGCCTTCGGGCAGAGAAGAACCCGGACGTGACTCCGCCACAGGGCAGAGTCACATTCGGGGAGGTAGACTGCTCCTGAACCCGTTTATACGGGTTCGAAAGGGAATATTTTTGGCCACGTTAAGCCGGTCTTGTGCCACATGCTCCCCTCGTCGGGTGTACCCAAATATATTAACCGAAAACTTTTTTCGGCTACACAGTCGAACTCTCCGCCATCCGGCAAAGAGGAACCAGGATGAGGCTCCGCCTAAGGACAGAGTCGCGTTCGGGGAGGTAGACAGACCCGATCCCGTTTATGCTGGTTATACGGGCATTTTTGGTCGAGCCTACGGGCTCGGAGAATCCACGTTAAACTCGGCCTTGTACAACATGCAACACACGTGGGTCGAGGGGGTGGCTAAATATGCTAGCTGCGATCTGTTACTCAGGTCTTAGATGCTGTCGAACTCTCTGCCTTCGGGCAGAGAGGAACCTGGACGAGGCTTTGCCGAAGTGCAGAGTCTCGTTCGGGGTGGTAAACAGAACCGATCCCGTTTATGCGGAGTCTACGGCGATTTTTTTGCCGAGCCTACGAGCTCGGAAACCCCACATTAAATTCGGCTTTGTGCCACATATGACTGCGTGGGCAGTTGCTAGATACTCTAGCTGCGATCTTTTACTTAACTGCTGTCCAAATCTCTGCTTTGGGGCAGAGAGGAACCCGAACGAGGCTCTGTCGAAGGACATAGTTTCGTCTCGGGTAAC